ATACTTTCCGACTACCAATTATATAAATGTCCAGGTAGACTAAGTCAGACCAAATAATAAGTGAGGGAAAGGGATAAGCTGACGGCAGACGAAGGGTTGACTAAAAAATTAATGAGTCTTACTTTAAGTTAATACAATAATAGCTTTACATATATAATGCCCCTTATTTATCATTAGAATTTTAATTATGAATAAGATAAGTTAGACTACTACCGTAAAGGAAAAAATATAAAGGTCGTATTTTTTTAACTACTACCATACAATAACAACTCCCGTGTTAAATAACATTAACCTGAATATCTAAAACTTCAACTGTTAACTGTTACAACTTTTAATAATATAGATATTGATACTCCTTATATAATAGACAATACTATTACTGAATGGTTCCTTCCTAAAATTAACTACATCAACTTATAGACCCATATTTTTAAAGTTATTATACAACTAATATAATATCTAGATATTGTCTGATGGATTTATTGGTTCCTCCCATAAAGTTTTTGCAGTTAAAGATAATCGTATATTTTACTTCGATCTAATAGGTTAAATATGGAGATTAATTATCTTAGCCCCTTATTTCAATCAAATTTTACTACACCATCTATAAGCAGGTTATTATATATTGGAATTCGAATCTAATATTGTTATTCAACTTTAACCGATCGTTATTATATAACTTAATTATTATTTCTCTTATTTAACCTTTATTAGTTATAACTATGCTATATTTTTTATTATTATTTATATTGGTATCTTTTCCTTATAATAAATGTTAACTATATTAAGGCTAACCTAAACTACCCTCAATTACTAAAGGGAAAGTCGTATATGTAGTAAGAAAGTTTGATGAAAATATTCATGTATTATAACAAAAATAATATTTATAACATGAGGCTGTTAATTTTAGTTATAACTATCTTTCCTATTAACAGTTTCACCTTTATTACATCCAAGAAAAAAAACTAGAAAAAAAAGGATATATTTTTAAACCTTAGTATAACTTTCTGATTTTATTAAAAAATGCTAAAATCTTATTTTAACGTTACACAATAAAAAGAGAACTTTCTCTTATAAACATTCCATCTCCTATTACCTTTATTGAAGAGGCTGTGCTAATATAGGAAAGGATAAAAAGCATTAGAAATAATACCTATATTAATAATCTAAGGTCCCGTAGGCTGTGTTGATGTTCGTTGAACCGAATTAGTTTAAGGCTAGTATTTAAATAATTTATTAATTCTCAATATCTTAAATCTCAGTTTAAACTATTAGCTCTCGATGGGAGGTACTAATTAAACTTTTTACGTTAATAAAATTTTGATAATGTAATTCAGTGATAATCTTATTCTTATTTCTTATTCCATTTTTTATAAATGTTTTAGATAACGAGTGACTGTTTAGGGAAAAATAATAACGTGGAAAAAGATCCATAGTAATAAAATATTGGTACTAGTAATACTAAAGGATAAATATATTTTATGGTAGACTTACGTTTCTTTTAGGCATTTTATCTGTTATATATTATTATATAATGCTATGAGGTTAACCTTATGTAGAGATTACGAAGCCTAATGGAGAAGAAGTTAGAC